ACTTACATGTGGAATCTAAAAAATACAACAAACCAGTGTATACAATAGAAAAGAAACAGACACAGAGGACAAACTAATGGTTACCAGTGGTGGGGAGGAGAGAGGGGAGGGACACGACAGGGTTAGGGGATTAAAAAGTACAATTTATTAGCCTATAAAACAAGCTACAAGGATATATTGTCCAACATGGAGAATACAGCAAATATTTTATAGCTACAATTGGAGTATAACCTTTAAAAATTGTGAATCTCTATATGGTACAGCTGTAACTTAAATAATATTCTACATCAGCTATTCTTCAATTAAAAAAAATTTGGTAGATCACGGTTGTCCAACATGAATAATGCCCCCCAAAGCTACACAGGTCCTCATGCCCAGGACCTGTAAATCCCATAACCTTATATAGAAAAAGGGATTTTGCAGATGTGATTAGGTCAAGGATCTCGGGAAGAGGAGAGTATCCTGGATGATCAGGGTAGGTCCTAAATGTAATCGTGCCTTTATGAGAGAGGCAGAGGGAGATCTGACTGCAGGAGAGGGTAACGTGACAAGTGAAGCAGGAAGCTAGGGCACTGGCTCTGAAGACAGAGGAAGGGGCCGTGAGCCAAGGAGTGCAAGGGATGTAGCCCTAGAAGCTGGAAAAGGACACAGCAGCTTGTCCCCGAGAGCTTCCGGGGGAGCATCACCCTACCTTGATTTCAATTCAGTGAAACTGACTTTGAACTTCTGACCTCCAGAAATATAAGCACATAAATGTGTGCTGTTTTAAGCCGGTCAATTTGTGGATTTGTTAACAGCGATGATAGGAAATTCATACAAAGTTGTTTATATTGAAAAACCCGTCTCTCATAGACAGGGTAGGAGGGTTAGCAGAGACTGGGATGTAAAGAGGTAAATAGAATGGCCTCTGGAGGAGGAAGGTGTATAGCATCTCCGCTTGGGTTCAGTGCCCACCTGGCGGGAGGATCCTGCACCGAGGCCCTGGGGAGCTGGTTGCAGGTCTGGCTTTGCTCGGTGAGCACCAGAGGGCTGGCAGCCAGTGGTCTCCTCTCTGCTGCTGATGCGGTCGGTGCCTGGCGATGGTCTGGATAGAGGCAGCTCTACCACCCTCTGTCCAGAGTGGAGAAGACAGGGAGCAGTGCTGCAGCTGACCCACGAAGGGGACACAAGAAAGGGAGAAACATTTCCTGCTGTGAGCCCCTGAGCTCGTATTTGTTACTGCAGCACAACCCAACTTAACCTGAGGGATAAAAGTGAGAGGAATGAATGAAATATCCTTTGGGCCTTGAACCTAACTTCTCTTTTATGTATAAAAAGTATTTTGATAGTTTTAATGATACACTGGCTTTTCTATTCATATGCATGAAAACTAAGGAAAGAATGTATTTTATTTTGTTCCAAACGTAACCGAGAACCATTATCATGTAAGTTAAACGTTATCTGTGTCCATGAGTGAAGCTGGGCCAATGGAAACATTCACAAAAGATCCCTGCCAGACATAGCGAGGAAAAAAAAAAAAAAAAAAAAAAAGAAGGGGATGTTTAGAATAGGTAATTTTTTTAAAAGTCCGGACCAATTAAGGCAGTTATAAGTGGATGACATTCAAATATATGTACATATATATATATACTAGAATGAGTTTCAAGCCATGCAAAGTTCACCAAAACAATTTTTATTTCCAGTGTTTAATTGGGTATGCACACAGGCATGACACAGGTTTGGATCCATTAAGTCCTCATGCAGAATTATATTCTTCTCCATAAAGAAGCCAGTTCCATCCAGATCACTATCTACACACCTATGTTACAACATTTATATCAAATCTGGTATCTGAAGAAAAGATACACATATAATATGTTCATTTAAGTTACGTATTTTACAGAAAGATTAAAAATTCAAGTCACACAAAACTCAAAAACTGTATTAAAAGTTTGAATATAAAACTCAGAGATCCGCCTGGAATGACTAAAGAATGGAAGTTCTGTATCCACCTGTGTTAAAACTGGTAAATGTAATGAAACTTGTTACCAATCGGACGCATTTGTTTACTCATTGTAAGTTACCTAATTTTAACAGTATGGCACCCTAAAAACCAAATGTGTTTTTATGATGAGGCACTTCTGTTAGTGATGAGATCAAAAGAACAGGCTTGCTGCATCCTGGTGACAGCTATTTTCTTCAGTAATCTTGGGTATTACACTATGTGGTGAGTTGCAACAAATACCTTCCTCATTTGTATACAACTATCCAATATATTTTTAAATATATATATATATATATTTATATATGTTCTTCTGGCTGTAGTAATGCACTGTAAAGCTCTTTCACAGTGCAAAATGATGAAACCAGCCCAAATGAAGGCTGCATAATAACAATTCTGGTACAAGAAAATATTTACAGAGTGACCGGAACGTGTAACAGTAGCTCTGATTCGCTCGAGGGGACGTACCCCCAGTTTAAAGACAGGGATGTGCTTTACTGCCTGGGGTTTCCGACAGGTGATGAGGTTGGGCGGTAGCGGGAGAGCCAGCATGCTGGCTCGTGTTCTGGAAGCTTTCTCCGTTTATTTGGTCGGGTGACGGTGGTGGAATGGAAACCGGGGGCCTGGAGGTTGAAGCCAAGGTGCTGGGAGAACCGCCTGCATCGGACTGAGAGGACCGAGCTGGGTCCGCCGCGGGAGCCCGGAACGTGCTGCCGCCCTCGGGCGCCGCGTCCCCCGCGTCCCCTCTGCTCAGGTCGGACGTGCTGGTGCGTAAGCGCTCCCTGGCCAGCCAGTCCGAGATGGACAGGTCCTGGGCTGAGCATTTCGGCTTCAGCCGGTTCACAGCTGAAAGTTCCGGCTCTCTCTCCCCACTCTGCTCCTGCGCCTTCCAAAAATTCAAAACACTGATTTCAGTAGCATCCCTGTGCCCTCCCAGCGTGTGTCTACGTTTGATGTTTTTCCTTTTGGCAGGATCGGCGCTGGGTTTTTGATTTCCTACCCCAAACATGTCATCTGCCGGCGCTCTGGGCCTCAGTTTTAACCGATCGGCTATTTTTGTTTTCCACGTGGGCTCCTGTTTCTCGGATTCGCCTCGGGCTGGTGGTGTCGGCAAACTCCCTGTCGATTTTCCTTTTTTCATAACATCGAACACTTTCGTGATCGAAGGGGTGTCCTTCTCGTTCTTGGTGTCCCCTAGGCTCCCGCTGTCCGACTTGAATCTAGCAGATTTTTTCCTGGACAGCGTGTCACACTCTATCAGTTTATGGGAACTGAAGAGCTGCCTCCGGCTCTCTAGGCTGGGTGTTAAGCTTCCCTCGGTACAGCTAACTTCACTGCCTTCCGAATTTCTCCGGCTCGTCTTAGGGGCCTCTTGCAGCTTTCCCCGGAAGAGCCTGTCCGACGGCAGGGCCGCGGGGAAGACAGGGAAATCGCTCTCACTGTCCGTCTCCACCGGCCGCCCTTCGCTGACCAGCTCGCTCCTCTCGTCGTCGGCCTCGTCCCCTTTACTCTCCGCCACCGACTGCACCTCGGGGCTCAGCCGGCTGGAGTCCAGGCCGGTCGGGAAGGTGGCAGACGACGTCGAGGAGCAGTCGGAGGTGACGGTGCTGACGTTGGCCAGGTACTCGCCGCGCTTCGTCTCGGGGCTGGTGGACTTCCTGGTGGAAAGCCTGGCCAGGGATGCCTGGGCGTAAGCGCTAAGCAGCGTGCCGGAGTCGGAGCCCGCGTCTTCCACGTGCGAGGCCTTCTGCGTGGCGAGGGACCTGGGGCTCTCCCGCAGGACGGCGAGGCGACAGCTCGGGGTGGGCGACTTGGGCTGCTTGGCGCTGTGCGGGGGCGCGGGCTCCCCCGCCGGCGCGCTCTCCCTCCGCGCCCCTGCCTTCTCGTCCTTGGCTGCGCCCGCGTCCTTCCTGGCGTTGCTCTCCTTGGAAGGGACCGTCCTCTGTTTCCTGCCCGGGGTCTCGCTGTCTTTCTTGGTCTCTTCTTTAATATCGCTGTGACACTGCTCTGCGTTTTCTTTCTTAAAAAACACATTGTCCAGTTCGTCTTCTGAGCTGCTGGGTTGTGCTTTTTCTTTCGGCTTTTTCCTCTTGCGACTGGCGGCCGCAAAGATGGAGGACACAAGCAGGTCCCTGCTGTACTGGTCCTTTCCGGATCCCCAAGAACCCTGAGAAGCAGAGAAACCAGGCTTTGAACGTGAGAACATTACTAAGTTCATTTTCTGAAAGAGTCCCCCCACCCCCCCGGATATTTCTTAACTACTAAAGGTGAGCACTAACAGAGGATGCTTTCTTATACCTCCTTTTAACTTAAGATACATTTTTCTCTTTATTTAATTAGCCCCATTTCTTGGCTGGTGGTATTTGTTTGCTATGTATGTGCCAAGTCACAGCTCACATACGCCTGTCTCTCAGGGACATATTTGCTGCTTGGTTTGCTCTAGTCTCCTATTCTTGTCAACTGCCCTGAATCTACTGACCTTCCCTGCTCCTGCAAGGCTCAGAGGGTCCTCAGGTCCCTTCATCTAGAACATGGGATTCATAAAGAGTCAATATTCCCACTCAGTTGGATACAACATTCTGACATCGGATACAAAAGATTTATGACTGCCTTCAATCTTCTCATTACAGATCCCACATGACATGGATCCTGCATCAGATAAGCTCCCACTGGCTCAGTCAGGCTGGGTTTGGAGACTGGCCTCAGCTAAGTCAGGCTGATCTCAAGTAACTACAAAAATCAGAAAATTTAAATAACAGAAGGTGAACTAAAGATCTTAAACCCTTACCATAGCAACACTGGAGTGCACCGCCTGGGGAAAGCGGTGGGTGCCTGCAGCCTACTGGCTCTGCCAGCTATGGGTTCTTGATGACAACTACTGAAGACTATTTAATTAACCTGTTCATAATGCCCATAGGCTAAGTAAATGCAGGGGGGATGTCAAAAACATTAGCTGATTTAATACACACTAAGACAAGCAGGCAGGCAGGCAGCACATTTCTCTATTGTCATAAAAATCTTAGACCAGCTGGAACTACTATATTGAAGCCTTGAAAAGTAAAGTAAAAATTTAGGCTAAAAGATTTCCTAAGTTCCCTTTAAAATTTGATGATTCTGTGAGTACATATCTGTTGAAGCTTATACTTACAACTAAAAAAATTATTACAAAAGAATTATATCATTTGGGTATCCATTATATATTATAGGCATGATACAGGCACCACCATAATTAAGATGAAGTGACTGCTATAACCAAAGATTAAAAAATATGGGAAGGAGGGAACGTCAAACAGGCAAGAAATCTAAAATCTTATATTCTGGCAAAAAAGGATGGGCAACTGCTGAGACGTGACAACATAATGCAAGGAGTGATCCTTGACTGCATCCCTGTCCAGGGAGATAGAAAACAACACTGTTGGGACAATTCGGGAAATCTGCATAAAGGCTATACATTAGAAATAATAATGTATCATGTTAATTCCCTGAGTACAATAATTATACTGTGATTATAAAGGAGAATGTCCTTGTTCTTAGGGAAGCACAATGAAGCATTTAGGGGTAAAGTCTTACCATGTCTATAAGTAATTCTCAAATGATTTAGAAAAAAACATATATAGACCTAAATATATATCAAGATTCACTAACTGATAAATCTAGGGCAAAAGGTTTGTGTCCTATTACACCAGGGACTTTTCTGTAGTTTTAAAATTTTTCAAAATAAAAGTTGGGGTGGAGGGAGGGTATAGCTCAGTGCAAGACCTCCTGGATGAGGTCTTGGGTTCAATCTCCAGTACCTCTATTAAAAAAAAATAACCTAATTACTTCCACCTGCCAAAAACAAAAAGGTAAAAATCACAATGTAAGTGATAGTGAATGATTTATCATTAAAATACTTTATAAAATTTTCTGCAAGAAATTAAATTATAATTTAGTCACATGTGACCCCATTATATTTAGAAATGATATGTAAAGTTCAGGTCTCATTTCTAAATAGGACAGCGTTTTTAGAAATTTATTGACCATTCTACTTGTTACTGTCTCAGCAGACCAAAATTTGGACCAACTGATAAAAACTGTCTAAGAACTATAGGAATTTCTTATAAACAAAAAGTTGTATAATTTAGTGGAGGTGTCAACAGAACACAAATTATGTTTAAAAACTGATTATAAAAACAAAGTGATCTTGCTAAAAGGAAGGCACCCATTTTTCATAAACAGTGTATAATAATAACAAAGTCTATCCTACTGCTGAAATATTTACAGATGAAACTGGATGTTTGGGATCTGCTTCAAAATAGTCCGAGGAGGAGGAAGTGGGTGGGTGCAGATGAGACATCTTGGCCGTGTGTTGAGGATGGATAATGAAGACTCAGGATACTAATATTCTCTTTACTTTTGTATATGCTGGAAAATGCCTACTTCTTAAACTATGCTACCCAACATCCCAACTCACAATCTAGTATTCCTTTATCGTATTCTATTTTTAAGCATTAATTTTTCCCTTTATAAGACTTTGTTGGTTTCTGTCACCTGACACGGACCGGGGTACGTCTGCATCTGAATCATAACAGTTGGCCACAGAGCCATTCCCCCACCACTGAAATATTATTTCCAAAGTGTACGAAACAATTTACCTTAGATTTGGTTGAGTCACTAGTGGCTGAATCTGTGAGAAGTTAAATAGAACACGGTCAGTATTAGTCAGATTCGTCACCGCTTTCAACAAACAATGCCAAACTCATGGAAAAGACAGGCACAGAACAAAATGTGAAAGCCAAACTCAAAAACAATAGAACACAGTGGATAGTCAGAGCTCACAGAGATGCAAGCTGCACCACAGAAAGCCACCGCCATGAAAGGATGCTGTGAATTGTAGGCAGAATCAGCTCAATGATAGGGATGGCAAAGGAGCCCTGTACTAAACGAAACAGAGACACTAGGGTTGATTAAATTAGCCAAGTGTTATGTCTAGCAATAAAGCAGCTCCAAGACCTTTTGAAGAATTGCACCATGTACCACATCCTGTATCTGAAACTGATACACAATGTAGAACTTTTAAGATTATTGGCTGCCCTTGCTACAAATTTGAGACACTTATACTTGGTGTAATGAGGTTGATTTTTGTCAGACTGTCAATCTTGAATTTTAGAAGCATCTACTTATGCGTAGATAACCCTGCTGCCGGGTCACTTTGGTTTTATGTTGAATGATGCTGACCACTGTGCTTTGGAGCCCCGTTTCACGTCTGTGCAGCCAGGGATCCTTTTGACTAGTTAGAATTGCTACCAGTTTGGCCATTATCTACTAACAAAGGCTATTATGGAAATGGAAAAATGGAGAGCATAATTTCACTGTCTGGCAAAAACTCAGGGTATACAAGTATAAAAGAGGGTAGGAAGGGGCTAGCACTCTTCAGAACAACACCAATTTTGAAATTTTCTCCTTTGAACTTCAGGGAAATGGATTTTCAAAATTAAATGAGCTGAGCCCCATGCCACGCCCCTTTCAACACATGGCTCAATGCTTTTATGACTTTAAGAACTGGTAGACCATACCATGCTATTTCTCCTCACGGTCTGCTTCAGAAATAACAAGAAACAGCAGAAAAACTTTTAAGAAAGTAGCAGTGATCTGTTGACAAGCATCTTGAGAGAAAATGGACACCACAGATCAACTCGGCTGGCATTTACAAGAAGCGGGGGTTTCTGCAGACAAGGCAGCTGCAGTGGGGACAGCAGCCCTCCTTCTTCCTACAGTTCCAGCTGTCCATCAGGGACACCACGGAATCCACTAGCGACATTACCGTGTGATAGACTCCTCCCATCTCACCTGGGCAACATCAGTACAGATTTGCCTGTGTCAGTAATGCTGAAAAAAACCCTTTAGGACTAAAGCAAGAACTAGAGGGAACCAAGGGAGAACACGGTGTCAGACGACATGCTAGGTTAGTGCAACAGGCTGGCAGGAGACAATCTGCATCGGAAGAGCCTACAAAACCTAATACTTTAACCGAAACATTAGGGCGGCAATTAGAAAACAGAAGACTGTCAAATAAGATCGACTTGTGCGATGACACCTGTGGTGACAAGTAATACACTGTATGTTATGGAAACGGTGCCCGGGAGCATTTCGCGTATTCCACTTGCTGCTGCTTTAACAGAACGTCCAGCTTGAGCATCAGAACTGCTCATACAGCCTAGACCACACTTTCTGCCATCACAGCAACCACATACTCAGTAGCGTTCATCTGTTTTACCTTGTGATGACTATTACATGGAAACTGTGAATTTAAAGAAAAAAAAGAAAGAAAGAACGAAACAGTGGTTTGCATGCTCATTTCCCCGCGTATTTCCTTTCTGACAAGCATTCAACTCCATGCACTGCCAATGGCTTTTAGTCACTGGAAGATGATTAAGATCCATCAGAAAAGGGAGGTTAAGTTCTTTATCAGTGGAAAGGAAGAAAAAGGAGGGGGGAAAAATCACAGTGAATTGTTAACTTAGGACTGAGTTTTGCTCTTTCACGTTATAAGAATTTAGCTTTTAAAAACCTAGAGATTAATGCTGCCCAGGCAAGAGTTACCTGATACATCTCCAGGGGAGACTCCGGTCCTTCCAATGTTGGTGAGTAAATGATCTATGTTTGGCACTGGCTGGGAGTCTACTGTGCTTTCCTCCCGCACTGTCGTCTATGGTTAATAAACAAAGATCTCTCCATCATTTCTTCAAAGATACTTTCTTTAAAATTCAAACAACATTTTAGTAAAAGACACATTTCTGAGTGGAGGACATGGGCTTCATTTTTTTAAACTGTTTGCGTATAATTAATTAGCAAAAAAGGCATCATACATGTATTTTCATTAGATCAGAAACTGAGGAGCTATAGTGACCTGCTTCCGGGATGCAAAGCAGACAATATAGCATACAAAGCAGGAAGCTGACACTGCTGCAGGGCCAGGATCTTGTGGCGTCCCAAAAGAAAATGACAGAGCCCGAGCGCTGATGAACAATACTTACAAGAGGTTCTTCCGCACCCTCTTCTGTGAAAAACCAGTCATGCTAAAATTTAAAATAAAGAAGGTGAAAAGGAGAAATTAAATAACCCCCGAAATCGATCTAATTTTGGAGGACAGTATAGAACAAAAGGTAATTTTCTTAGGACAGAATTTGGTAATAATTTTATTTTTCTACCAAATATCAGCTGCTCATGAAAAAGAACCTTCTCAATGAGATAAAGCCTGGACTTACGTGCTGGATCAGGGTCTCCACAATCTTGTACTGATCCGGCATGTGTGTGACCATGTGGGTCATGTTATCTTCCGATGTCCTCACGAGAGTTGGACCAAACACGATGGCTAGGTTTCTTGGTTCCATCTGAAACAAAGGATGGTATAAGATACCACTTTTCTTAAGAAAGTAGGCTTAAATTCTCTCTTTGCATGTTTGGCATTTTATTTCTGAAAGGCTCTTCTGATGAAAAAGAATGCAAAGAATGGCTGACTGATGTGTGTTAAAAAAAATAATAATACATCCTAGTTAGAATGTTCATACAGATTGGTTTATGGAAGTCCTTTTTCTTGCTTTAATGACAATGTATAATGCTTAAATGGCATTCATTTTTCCCCCAGGAAGTCTGTGATTGAAAGCAGTTGATTTGGTTCAAAACTAGTATTACCAGAGCTGGATTAACTGACAAAAATATTAAAATCAAAGGGAATAAACTCTCAAAAGAACAGGGAAACCCTCCCCTCAAAAACTGAAATAAAAATTTCCAAATTTACCCCTGTAGTAACATCAAGATCACTAATATGTTAAAACCTAATGTTTGAAAATATTTTTTTGACCAAATTTTTACTTCAACCAAAACTTCCAAAGCTTTTTCCTTATCTGTACGCCGACACGAGCACCTCAGTATCACATGCCTGTATGTTTGTGTGTTCATTTCCATGGTATTCTGTATTCCTGGTTAATTATCAAAGGTGCAAATCTTTTGTTTTCCTTTGTTACAGTGTTTGGTGAAAGTTTTTGAACTTAGGATTTGATTAAATGTTAAATAACCAACCCCCAAAACATACCAGAAGGTAAAAGAAAAATCACTGCAGAACTCAAAAAAAAAAATTCAAACTGGTCTGGGAACCCACACCAAAAATTTAGTTTCCATTCATCACCATATAATCAACCTCCCTTTACCCTTTTGTCCTCTCAACCCCACCCCGACCCCTTCCACTCTGATAACCACTACTCTGTTGTCTGTATCTATGTGCTCTTTTTGTGTTTGATAAAGGTAATGTGGTGGTGGTAAAACAAAACAAAAGTCTTATCTTCTTAAGTCTAAACAAAACTAAACAAGAAAATAGCTGTTATTTTTCACTGTATACTACTTGGCACATTTTTGAATTGTATTGTAAATACTGCCCATTTAAATTGTTATTATACAGTTGAAAAATAAAAAGTAAAATTTCTGACTTTTTCACTTTTCTTGATGGATAAATGTAGAAGAAAATGTCTTTAAAAAATAACAATGGATATTTTGGGGATCTTTTGCTTTAACAGTGATCTTTAGAGGGAACTGATCACCAATATGATGTATTTTAGAGCTTTTGTTTAATTATAACCTATTTTTGACTATTTGGCATGAAGCACTGAACCATGTCTTTTCGACTAAAGCCACTGACAAGACATCTTTTCAATATACAGTTTACACACCTTATTTTTTTCTGAATTTTCTGCCACTGTCTTCAGATGAGCCGAAAGAAACTTGAGTGTTTCATAATGATGTTCAGGCAAATCGTGAATCTGAAACATATTATTTTCATGATGGATTTAAATGCTGGTCTTTTTGTTGTTATCTCCAAAAAATACAAAATAATACCTACTAGTCTTTTTAATGTTTTCAGACGATCTAGAGGATCCTCCTTACGATTGGCTTCAATAAAGTCGGCATATTTATCTGACAACAACATCAAGAACAGAAAAGCGAATTTATCTTAAATTGTTCAGGTGAACTATAATCTAGTTTTCCTTTCAATTTCAAACCATAATTAAAAAGAAAAAAAAAAGTAGGGACCCCCCCCCCAAATAGCGTTTGAAATATTAACTCTCTAAAACTGCTGTAAGTTTTTAATGATCATGATGATAATTATCATCAAATACAGGAAATTCCCTAAAATGTGAGTTCTCTGACGGTACATCCTATATTTATAAAATCTGCCACTCTCTGTCCCTTGACCACAACCTCTACCACACAGTCTTGTGTAAGTCAAATAGTTGGCTTGACTGAAAAAATGGTTTTTTACTAACTGTACCTTATTATATATCAAGACTTTTGACAGAATAATATATTTTTAACTTGATTGTAAACATGAACGAACAGCATAATCTATATTTTACTGAACTTAAACAATTTTTTATCAATTCTTATTTTTCATTGAAATGTATCAGGAGAAAAAACATCCAGATGGCAAAAAGTAGCACATAACCATGCCTTGTATATAAATAAGAACTGAACAAAATCTTCTGTTCCCTTTGACAGAAATGTTTTCTCCCAGTTCGATTTAATATGCTGTGTTTTCCCAAAAGTGCCATGTTAAACTGTTCCACTTGGTATCATTCGTGGACGTTAACTCACCATTTGTGAAGAGAGGTTCAGGGAGTTTTCTGAAGAAGGATTTTAATAAACTGCTTATGACGTTCAAATCTCGCCATTTCTAGGTATGCAAAATAAAAACACAGTGTTTTCATAGTCAATACCATCAGAGAGAAAAAACAAAGATGAGTTACTCAAATAGAAATAAAATAAACTTACATCGTCTTGGATGTCAATGTCCGCCATTCCCTTGTTGAGTTCCTCCTGCATGCTTGAGATGGCCGCGTTGTTTCCAGGAACTCTGTAGATGCCTGTATATTCAAGACCTCTTTCTTCAACTAATTTGCAGCATATGTCAACTATTAATGGAATATACTGCAAAATAAGGAAGAAACATTTTATTTAATGTAGCATGAATGTTTATCTTTCATGGATAGATGTGTATCATAGGTAAGAGACCCTTTCATCCAGGAGGAACCAGTGTATAAACTGCTGTTCTTTGATAGAGAGAAAATAGAGAATACAGACATTGCAGAACAGGGAATAGATAACAACCAGCAAGAGATACTTGAGTCAGTGGAAGGAGAACCATTAGGTCAAGACAGAAAGAGGAGGATTCATGGAGAGAGAACGTCCCAAGAGGAAAGGCGAGCAGGTGGGAGCAGCTGAGTTGAGTAAAAGAAGGGGGAGAAGGAATAACATCCATCCACTCATGATATGGATCCTAACACAGGTGTTCTAAAGACACACAAATGCACATTTACATTTATCATACTTTCTTAATCAAGTCCTTGTTCCCATCCTTCTAAGATGCTAAAAGCAGAAATACACATGATTTGAAAATGAATTCTTACCAACCCTTCCAGATACATTCCTAATAGTTGAATACTTACTCTATTTCAAAGTCAATGCATCAGGAAAAAAGCACTGTAGATAAAATTACTCAACACACTCATATAGGTCAGAAATGCTTAGAGAAACTAAGACCTGATAAGAAGAGGAAAACACCGAACAGACCAACAGACACCCCCTGGGGTCTGCACGGCCGTGTGCTCAGGTTCTGTTATGACTACGGCTGAATTACTGGCTTTAGGAAATCCGGCTGGCGGGGGGTCTCCTACCCGGTTAGTGTGGGCTGGCGGGCAGTCGTCCAGTCTGACCCCGAAGGTTCCTGTAGCTGTGGGCTTTTTTTCAAATGTCTTCCGCATAATACTTGGAATGCCTTTTCTCCACGTGCCCTTGTCCTTCGGGGGACTGGTGTCCTCTTTTGATCATTATTCAAAAGAAAATGACATAAGAAAATGGAAACAAGAGTGTTTAAATCATGACTTTAAAGATCCTTTATCAATATTTATGTAAGTCAGAGTCCTATACTGTAAGTACCATATCCTTTACTTATCAAAAATATTCTATTGTCTTCCTAATATAGCACGCCTTTCAACCTTCCATACAATATATGTTTCTTCACCCTTTGACAATCTGTACCATGAAGGATTTTCTTTAAAACAGTCAGGAAAAAAGAATCACTGTGAGATCTTAATTGTGAGATTTTGGCCCAAGGAAATAGAATGGTTTTATTTCAGAATGAAAGCACCTGTATCCTCTGCATTACTCCAATCTATAGTTTTTTTTTTTATGCAGATGTATGTGCTGAATTTTCCTTCACTTGGTCTTTGTTGCGAGGACCCCCCTTGAGGGCGTGACCCCTGCGCTCATGTCTGCAGAGACGCCCCGGAGAAACAGGGAGCGCCCGCACCGCCCCGGGGCGAAGCCGAGACTCACGAGGAGCGCGGACGCCAGTACCTTTGCTGAGAAGCTTCCTTTCCGGCTCCTCCTTGGGCGAGTGCGGACTCTGCGTCCGAGGCTCCGCTCTGGCACCCAGCAGGGTCTGCCGGATGCTGAGGCTCTGCCGGGGCGTCCTGGGCACCTGCTCCGCTTTGCTGCCGGAAGAAGGGGGCGTTCCTGAACAAGCGCGCATCTTACATCCCAGCCGCCTCGGAGGCGTGGTGGGGTTCTCACCTCATCAGGCTGTTATATTCCTTTATTCTTCGACTTATCAGATCCCTGTTAGTGACTCCAGTGTCCTGCGGAATAAACAGAAGGTAAAATTAGAAAGTCGATTCTGAACTTAAATAGGAATTCTCATTTGGGGGGAGGGGCTCTATATTGTGCTACTTCATTTGTTCCATACGGACACTATGGAGCTGTGTTTAAAACCTATATTCAAATCACAACTATGGGACAAGTGTTCTAAGTGCCTCCCCCACTGCCAAGAGTTCTCCGTTTAGGTTCTGTGCTCCGCCAACACCTAGACTAGTACCAGCAAGTCACTGGTGTTGAAACTCCTTGACCTGACATTTTAAATAAATGGCTGGGAAGCAGGGAGCCAGTTTTTTCTCTCATACCGGAAGGAATGATTGGAGTTTCAAAATAATCCAATTGGACAAAAGGTGGAATCCTACCAAAATCTGTTAATGGTTAATTTGGAGAAGCAGTGAGATCGAGAATCAGTTTGGATCAGAAGTAGCAATTAGATTATCAGAAGAAAAAAGCTCAACTGTTTTTAACCTCAACAGGCTAACTTAGAAAACACGCTAAATGGAGAACTCAGAGTTGACCACTAGATGGTGACTTTTTTTCCCCCTACTGATTCCAATTATATGTTGATACATGTCCTCACTTATTTTTTTTTTTTTGACTTGTCTCATTTTGATCTCAATGAACATTATAACTTACAATGAATACAGGCTTTGGAGTTGAACAGTCTTGAATTCAAATCGATTCTTCTCATTTTCCAACTGAAAGAGGATGTGGTTAAGATCTAGAATAAGATTGCCTGGGTGTAAATCCTAGCCCTGACACTTCTCAGCTAGGTGACCTTGGAGAAATCACTTAACCTCTCTTTGCCACACAGTTGCCTTCTTTGTAACATGGTTATGATCATAATATGACCGCTGAGATTGCTGGGCTTAACTAATGTAAATGCTTCTGACTGCCTGCCATATGGTGTATGCTCAGTGACCGATCACTTTCTTATCTACAAGGCTGGGGGAGCTCCCTGTGTCTTAACACTGGATGATGCTGCTGCTCTAAAGGCTGACATGAAGTCAGTGTTCATGATCTACCAGGCACCACGCTGCATACTTCCTAAGCATTATCTCATTCAATCCTTAAAACAGCCCTGTGTTTCAAAGATGAGGTTATCTATCGGATTCTTTCAGTCTTCTTTAAAAAAATGTCATGAAGGTGCCTGTTTTATCCGCATACATCACCCTGAACACGTACCTCTTCGTTGAGGTTGCTGCTCTCCTGGATGGCCTTGATCCAGGCTAACATGTCGTCCCTGTCTTCAGCCTGGAACAGGCACTCGCAGTCAGAGGTGGTGAGTCGGAACACGTTCCTCCTCTTGGTCTCGCTGTAGGAGATGTCTATGAGGCACGCGTTCACACTGATGGGCTGCTCCTCTTCAGACGAAGTGGTCTGCTCGCGTTTATCTTTGTACAGGTACAGAGAGTGACCTCGAAGAACAACATACATCTGCTTCCATGGCCGAATACTTCCGCCAACCCGCTGGAAAACAGGAAGCAGATTGGGACCGCTCAATCCTCGGCTAAACCTTAGTGACAGGACAGACACCCTCAGCGGCACTGCCAGCACGTGTCAGTGTGCACCCAAGGCAGCAGGCATCTGCTTTATGTCAATGTTTGTCTGCCAGGGGAGGAAAGACAAAAATTGTGGCGCGTAAACCAAGTTGGGCCACGTGTTCATTTCAAAGTCAAGGATAGTGAAAACTCACTTTCATTTGGTGGAGAAAATGAAATGAACAAAGTAATTAGGATAAAGCAGGTGTAGCAAACTGAATTTAAAAAAAAAGCTAAGGGAACAGAAAATAAGGAAAAAGGTCGGTCAGGAAAATCTTGAGTGAAAGCAAGGCTTAAGGCAAGTCTTAAATCACACAAATGACAAACACTGCGTAAGGAGAACCCAAAGCCATGTATGTACGAGTAATGAACTTAGTTATTAACAAAACTGATCAGCTTTACACGATCAAGCAACAGTATCTACATCCAAGGTGGGTTTTCTTAAAAAAATTTTTAATACTCTTTTGACAGTGTTAATTAAGGCTTTCTTGTAAATAAGCTGTCCAAATATTGTAGGAAACTTTCTGGCAAAGTTTTACTATATTGTTACCTACTAAACGAGGCACATATTGATATTGTGATATTCACTGATGCGACTCAATACTTATAAATGGAAACAATAAACTTATAAAGGCAACTTAAAAGAATCAACTGGGAAACACTGAATAAAAGTTTTTAAATGATTAATATGGAGAACTGCCACTCCCTAAAGGACTACCCTGTCATAATCTATGGGCAATAAACTGTTTAATAAGGAAAGCAGAATTCCTTCTTCAACACTCTGATGTCTCTTTTACATTGCCAAGATACAGGGCAACACATTCCACATGTAACCAATACAAAGGATGAAATGGTGTAAAAATGAAATCACTGATTAGAATTTTTAAAAATAATTTTTCCTTTACATAGAAAAAGATGCTGCCAATGATGTTTTCCACTCTTTATTCTGGATATTTTGCCATTTTATGTACACAGGCTTAATGCTTTTTCAGGGCCTGCATTTCATACGTTCACAGTAGCTGAGAGAACACGTTACCTTGCCCTTATCGGTGACAAGTGGCCTGAAATGAAGCCACCCTTCCTTGGCAGCATCGCTGAAAACCTCTGAGGAAGAATCTTTCCTGGATCCAGAGTCTTCTGACGACTTCTGGCTGTCGATTATCTACAGAAAAGGCCGAAGAAAACACAGCAAATTGTCAGCATTTTCCTTTATAAATATATTTGCAACGTGAAACTGCTTTGCTGAAAAAGTCTTTTATTTAATCTTCCAATTGAAGAGCTATTTTTGAACCATCTTAACTTTATCAGTTACATCAGAAAAATTTCGGGTTTTTTTTTAAAAAAAAAGGGAATCGACCACTTATCATTTTTAAAAGTCACCTGAAGGAAGTTCTTAACCGCTAAACAGTAACAGAAACCGTTTAATTTTCCTGCTCTCAAGAGCTCCCATTTTACTGGGAAAAGACAAAGAAGAATAAAAAATAAACAAGAAAATGATCGGACTGTGATCAGTGCCGTTTGGAGAAGGGAACTGAGGAGCAGCTATAAGTTGGTGATGCTGACAGGAAGCCTCTGTGCAGAAAGAACACGTAGGATGAAATTCCGGGAAAAAATTTAAAGGAAGAGCCAACCATGAGAGGTCAGGGAAAGAGTTGAGAGAGAAGGTACAGCTAATGAAGGTGCACTCATTGCTATCACTTTAAACGGTCCGTGTTCGATGGGAGTAAGAGAAACAGCTAATTGTAGACCGTTGAGGGTCTCCCAGGCTGTGGCAGGGCGTGAACTGATGAAGCCGGGGAGGATCGTCATCGGATGACACAGCTGAGAGGTTGCGCTGCTTGCTACCTGGAGGGGGGGGGGTTCTAAAGGGACAACCAGGAAAGGAGGTGTTCCTGCAGGAGCCCAGGTGCTGGGTGATGGCAGCTGGGACTTGACCAAAGTGAAGGCAGAGAGGAATGTAAAGATTCAGGCTATGTTTTGGAGGCAGAGTGGACGGCACTTGAAACAGAAAAGAAGAAACAAGGCGAATTCCTAGATCTGGAGCTTGAACAACTGGGTCGACAGAAGGGGACCTAGTGAGATGGGGAGACGGGAGGGACAGACGCGTCTGGGCGTCATGCAGGTCCACTTGCCCCGGAAACCTTGAACTGCTCATTAAACATCCACATGCAGACGGTGCACAGGCAGGAGCCTCTGTGAGCTGCAGTCTGGGGAAGAGGTCAAGTCTGGAGATGTATCCTTGGGGAGATCTCTGGATAAGAGCGCCGAGGAAATGAGGGCCGATGGAGAGGAGAGAAGGGTCAGAAGCAGCTCTAGGCCTTCCAACACTAAATATCAGGCAGAGGCAAAAATGGAAACCAGCAGAGGACAGCGTTTCAGGAAGCGACTGGGAAATTGTGTTGCCCACTTACTGAAAGGTCAAATAAAAAATCCAAGCAACTGTTCGTTTTGGAACCTGAGAGTCTCTGGTAACCTTGGCCTGAACCACGTCATTGTCAAGTGTGTGGGCTGAGAAAGACATGATGTGAGGAAGTGGAACCTGCGGATGTTTTTTTTTTTTTTTTTCCCCAACGAGTGTTACTGTGAAAAGCAGAAGAGTAAAGCGGAGCAGTAAGTAGAGGGGGATGTGGAATCGAGGAAGATTTTTCTTTTAAACACAGGAAATAGTAGAATACTTCTATATGATCGTGACTGAGCCGCTGGAAAGAGTGATTTTACAGAAGAGACAGGGGTCTTGAGAAAGTGAAAAGTGATGGAACCCAAAGAAGAAATGTGGGTGTTGGTGTTCAATAGCATAATGTCCCAAGTAAGAAGATATTTATTAAGATAAGAGTAAGGAAGCCTGAAAGCGCAGGTGTACAGAAGGTCCTGATATTTTTGGAGAAGGTAAAATGAGGAAATTCCTGTCTAACTTCCAGGAGGGAAAAGCAGACAGGAGGAGAATGGTTGCTTGGATTCCTGCCTGATATCTACAGTGTTGGAAGGTCTAGAGCTGGTTCTGACCCCTCTTTCCTCTCCATCGGCCCTTATTTCCTCGATGATCCTATCCAGAGATCTCCCCGAAGATACACAGAGGATTGTACTAGGTGAGGGGTGGAGAGGAGGAATGAAATAATAATTTTCAGGACAGAAAAACAGACAAATTGCCAGGTGGTCAGAATTTTTGGCCATAAACTTACAAAGTGAGAAAAATCAGCACAATTGTATGTTAAAGAAATTACACATGTGACAAGTATGTTTAGAAACCACAATTTACAGTGATATTTTCCAAATGCACTCGAAACTTACAGAACAAAAGGTTATGACATTTAAATATGAAATACCTAATGGATAAAAGAAAGAATTCTCTATGGAGAACTAAAGTAAATTAAGGTAAACAGAAACATTTCCCATTTGCTGATATTTTAAAAATATTGAACACCTACCTTGATTCCCTTCAGGCTAGATACATGCTTAAAGGACCTGTTGGAGAAGAAGTATATCAGTATTTGCAGGAAGTGCGTAAAACACCTTAAAGATGTAAAAATAATCTGATTATGACAACTAGCCTTTCATGAATAAGTGGATATTTCATTGTTACCATGTTCATTTCAGTGTTCGATGCAAGTGAGGAATAACAGCTAATTTTATAAAACTTCCGATTCAGTGATTGAAGATTTCTAGATTGGAAATTAAAACTGTCTCTGCGTAAAAGGTGACTTTTTCTCATCCTTTTTTTTTAAGCTCAAAGAAAAAGCTACTCAGACTTAAACGCTGGGCTTTATATCATTAGTATCCATAGCTGTCATGCTCTATTAAGAGCTTCCACATGGTCAGTGATGATGGGTAAGTGGTCACCATTGGCCGTGAGTTACAGAGTGGACAGCTCATCTGCACTGGTCCAGCCTGGACGCCGCGGCAGGAATGCACCGTGCAGGCTGAGCACGACCGCTGCTCCTCCCTCCAACCACGTTCTGGATGTTTCCGTACAGAGGACAACGGCTGCCACTGAAGAGGCTCAGGGCTTCGAGAAGGGGTTCACATTAATTATTCAAAACAGCTTAAATTTAGGGGACAAAGTTGTCTTGTTGCTGCTGTTAATTTGAAATTCACTGAAGGAACTTAGGAAGGTGTGACTGAGATGGCACTGAGATGTCCTCTCTTCTCAGAATCTGCCTCCCGCTTTCCCTCCAAACAACAAGATCACCAGAAACAGCTGTGAAGACTCAGTCTCCAGTGTCAGGGGACCCCTGGAGCTCTGCACTAGGAAATACGCATAAGGGTGGTGAAGTGCCGTGAAGTAAAAAGTGGATTCGGGGAAAGAGGTCACCAGTGGTTGCACGTCTCAAACAAAACTGCAGAGCACTGTTCTCTGAGTAAAACCAAGCTCCCCCTGTTTGGAACAATGGGAACTGGGATGCTGGTGCTGGGGACTGGAGCCTCCTGTATCACCACGGAGTGTCAGGGGAGGTGAGGAGGAAGGAGAAACACGCAGTCCTGCCATCTTTGCAGAAAGAGGTAAGTGAAGCCGACTCTGAAAGGAGGCCATTACTGCTGTCTTCCAGAGGGGAAGAGTAAAGGCTGCAACAGTTCACAAAGCCACCCCGGCACCATTAGAAAGACCCCTGCTAGTCACCACTGCCATCGCCACCACCACTGCCCTGGCCACACTGCACATACACTCCCCCCCAAGTAGCTGGCCCAGGAAGAACAAATTGTATTAGAATATAAATAATAATCAAACGGAAGTTTCAGAGTATCTGTACAAAAATTCTACAATAAAAAAGACAAATCATTCTTTGACAGAATAAGGATCAGTATGAGAAAGATGTCAATATTTCCTCAATTAATCTGTAAATTAAACACTGTGCCAAGGAAAATATCCAGAAGAACTTAGAAATAGAAACTGATTTTAATGTTCAAATAGTAAAATAAAAACAGCCAGAATTCTGCAAGAACATTATGAGGGAGAAAAGCCCCACCAGATGGTAAAAACACTACAAAACCACTGTAATTAATAGAATCTGGTAGACATGATAGACAAATAAACTGAATAGAGTCCAAAAATAAAACCAAAGACATGTAACAAATTCATTTATAATAAAGATGACATATCAGTGGGAAAAGTATGACATTTAATAGATGATCTTGGGACAACTGAGACACACTGGAAAATATACAGTTGGCTCTTTATCTCACTAATTAGAATAAATTCCAGATGAGTCAAAGTTGTAAATGTACAAAAAGGAAAAAGATGAAGAAAAACACACAAATTTGAGAAGTAAACATGAAAGAATCTGTTATAATTCTGGAAGAAAGAAAGGCTTTTTCAGTATGATTCAAAATCAAAAGGCCTTAAAAAAAATTCCTTAAAAAAATTCCTAAATTTGACCACACACACAAAAAAATGTTTAACATTTTACAGGGTTTAAACAAACAAACAAAAAACTTCAGAAAACCAAATGAAAAATATTGAGGAAAGACTTGCAACACTTATCTCAGAAAAGAGCTAGTTTCTTTTGTTTGAAAAGCCCCAGAAGTTACCCAGAAAAACCAGGAGGAAAATGGCTAGGAGACAGGAAAAAGCAGTTTGCAGAAAAAGAACCATAAACATCCTTAAATATATATGAAAGAATGTGCAATTAATAAGAAATTTTCAAATTGAAACTATAATATGATACCATTAGAGTTGTTAAGAAAATAAAAATAACAAGAACCACCCACCAAAGTTAATTAACATGCTGTGTTGGTGAGGGGAGCAGCAAAGACTTCTGTACCCTGTTGGTGGCAGTGATTTGGTTTAGTCTTTATGGAGAGCAGCTGACAATGGATATTGAAATAAAAAATATACAGATCCCTTGATGTAACAATCCTTTTTCCAACCGTGCTCACTCCTGTATATGCTAAATGAGCTATGTACTGAAGTACACGGTATAAAGTCACTGAAGTATTATTTGTTGTAGCATGAGATTTGATCAATCTAAATGTCTCTTAACAGAATATAAAATACCAGTTAAATATATTATGGTATAACTACTCAATGGAAAATTAAACAATCATGAAAATGAATGTGCCAGGAATACATGCACTGAATACTCTTCAAGATCCAGTGTGTAGGGCACCTATCATTTGTTTATAAAAATAATTAGAACACACACACATATGTAAGCATATGTAAATGTGAGTATGACTTTATGCAAAGAATAGCTCTGGAATTATATTAAAAAAATGATAACATAGTTATGTGTGAGAGCAGGACTGGGTGGCCGGAGCCCTAGAGCGGGAGTGATTATTTAATATACATAGTTTTACATGTATTTTTGTATTATGTTTGTGTATCACTGACTTTGAAATATTAATTTTTTTTAAAAAATCAACCGAATATATTACCACGTAACAACTTTGATTTTTCATTTGCATGTCTAATGTCATAAAGTTAGAAAATATAAAAGGCATCATTAATTCAGCATTTATATGTCAAAGATATGCTTAACACCCCTAACAAGACTTACAATTTTGCATCTTCTCGGTAATCATCCAGGCCCTCGTCGTATGATTTTGATCGTTCTGTCTTTGAGCTGGGCTGGCCGTCCAGGCTGGGGGGTCCAACAGATTCTGCAATTAAAACCCAACATTTAGACATGTGCAAGTGGTTTCCAGATGCTTTTCTCGGCGAGAAGATCATGGTGTGTCATTATAGTTTTCTACGTGGAAAACTGAGAATGCAAGACAGTTCGTATAACCACTCACTGAAACATACCCTGGTCGTGGGACAGCTGACGTCGGATTAAAGGAGCTGACGTTGTGAGGCCGGGAGGGATGGTTGCTATGGAGGGGACCTGGGAGGTAGAGGCCGAGATGACAGCAGAAGCAGGGATGTGCGAAATATCATGATCGATGCTGGGGCTAGTTGGTTCATCTGTCAGATAAAATGAAAATAAATATTCAGATATTAAATGGCCTAATTACTATTAACAATAACAGCAGAATCAATATTCAGTATTCATTACTGTAAAAACCAGATAAAGATAACACATCCACAGACATAACAATAAATGACATAGTTGGTCTGTTAAAAATCTCCTTATACAGTAATTCCAAATAATTCCAAGAATGTGATCTAAGAAATTAAATGAGTTGCTGCTTCTACCAAACAATTAATACCTTCACTAAACTGATAATCAAGACACCAAAGTTCACAGATATTCAGAACCTAGACCTATAAAAGCAGAATAAACACACACCACGGTAAAAGAATTACTTCCCCAATTTTAAGTGTATCACACATTATCATCTCAGGAAGCAAGCAAGGCTGAACTTTCAAGGCATCAGTTCCTAAAACCTACACCTCCCACCTCCCACCAACACAAGTAGCTCTTGTCCAAAAAGCTATAGCGTCTTCCAAAAGAACTTATTCATCATCAAGGCCACTGGTACAGAGGGAATGTTTGTGTCCTCCCTAAATTCATATGTTGAGAATTAATCCTCACTGTGATGCTATTAGGAGGCGAAGCCTTTGAGAGGTGATTAGGTCACAAGGATGGAGTCCTCATGAATGGGATTAGTGCCCTCACAAAAGAGGCCCCAGAGAGCTCCCCTGCCCCTTCTACTATGTCAGGACACAATGTGAGCCAGGAGGCTGAGAATCATCTTCCACAACTCAGTGAAATTATCAGAATTTTGGGCATAGACTGTGGCCGAGTCATTTTGCTTTTCATTTCACATCTGTTAGGGAAGAGATTATTCTCCCCTTTCCCCAAATCACAGCATCATAATGAGGCATGTTAATGCTATAATATTCAATGATGGAGTAAATCACACATCACAAGGGGAGGAGTAAGTCTGTGTAAGTTGGAAGAAATGGTGACTAATATGAAAGTATATATAAAAATACATAGTGCCCCAAAAGCATGTACAGATAAATCTCTTTTACTAGAAATAAGGAAACTGAACACACTGTTTCTGGTCCAGTCCTAGGAGAAGGGACATTCACTGCAAATGACCTAAAATCCAATCTATACCTCAAAGTACAGTTTATAAAAGGAGAATAAATAAATACTGTTAATGGAGTCTTCATCTTAAGAAGAAATTCAATTGGGACAAACATTTCTTTTCATTTGCCTTCTGAGATGCATACATTCAGTTAAAGCAGTTACATGAGGCTGAATTTTATCTTCAATAAGCAAACAGAAGCCCTTCATAAGTAACAACTTTGTAATCTTTTGGCAACACCAGAGGTGGTATTATTTTTTTAAATCTAACTTAAACCCAGTGAAATAAGGTCATCTTAAAAAACTGATCTCCCTAGGAAAATTTTATTTCACCTCATTAGTACCAGTTAGTAACCATGAGGTGAAAAGTTTTGAGGTTCATAAAAGTGGCATGCTCAAGAAAGTCCACTTTCATTAAAGAGGTATGGTTAGGAAAGAATGCTTAAAAAAAATCAAGCTACTAATAAATTAACATGTGCTTCTGATCTCCAAAACTGACCATCAAGTGACAGATCTCTAGACACTCACTGAAGCTTTTTCATTAATTATAAACAGAGCTTACGAGGTGATACACCTGTTAACAACTGGTAAGGGGGTGCCGTCACCTAGTTCAATGGTCCCAAAGTGTCATAGTAATAACCCAACTCATGATTGTAGTGAAAATTAGTGTTTTAATTAAGACCAAGCTTCTTTCATAGGTCAGTAAACACGCATTTATATGAACGTCTGGCTATCTGAAAGGCATTTTGAGACTGCGTTATTTTGATAATCAAAAATGCAGTGCTGTAACTTCCTAATAGATACAAAAGGTTAAGAAGTGGTAGAACTTTGAATAGAGACTTTTTCACCCTACCATGCCCACATGGCCGCAAGTACAGCGAGTGGCGCTGTAAACCTACTGCTGCTGTTGGAGGAGGTATTTGAAAGGCAGGTGGCGAAATTAGAGCAGGAGCAGGAATGTGCGACTGTGGTCTGGACTGGGACTGCAGGCTTGCCTACAGGCAGCAAACATCACAGCAGCACAAAGCTCTGTGTTTTAAAAAGGCAGGTGGAAGTATTGCTTTCCGACCTGCCGCAGGTCACAGTTACTTGGCTGAATTTCTGCAGCCTCTGTGGGTCAGACAAGTTAACGAGTGGTGATAAGATTTCGAGGGTTTGCGTGTATGTGAGAGACACGTGTGTATGAAAGATGACCCCGCTTACCAGCTGACAAATATTGGAAGTATTAATTTCAAGGAACCTAGCATTTATCTTCAAAGAATTTAATAAATATTAGGCACTAATTTCACAAGTCTATCTTTGGAATGATTAATTTCAGCACACAGAAAAAGCCAGCTACTAGGAATGGAGAAGACTGAGCTCCAGGGGAGGGTCAAGAGACTTGGATCCTGTCTTGTTGGAATTCCTCTGGATATTAAATTTGTCCCTGTAAAGAAACTGGACTGGGATTATCAAAAGGGTCATTTCTAGCTCAAGAGGACTACAACAATAAAGCCACTAAAGGGGTAAAATTATCCGTTTATGTAAGAATATAAAATACTTCTGGATTTTTATAAGCCAGAGAGTTTTTAGGGGGCTTTTGAGGTTTGAATTTATTTTAAAAACTGACAAATCTGGCTGAGAGTGTACTTACTACTGGCTTTATTTTCAACTTAAAGGAACTCGCTGAAAATCTAGTAAGTCTGCTTTAGGGAAGCAATTCTATAATTTTTATAAGTGTGAAGTTAAAAAAAAATTATTCCCCAAAGTAAGTAAGCACAGTATTCTACAAGGTGTGCTACAGATAAATTTGAAATACTGTAGGATAAAAGCCATGCTACTACCAAAAGGAAGATAAATGAACACCTAAAATTATTCTGTGGGGAGCAGTTTTCTTAAACTTGGAACACATAAATTTATCTAGTAAGAAGATGCCAATTCAAACCTGGGAAATCTGAGCTAAGAAGAGTGAATATTAATTCAGAACTATCCTTTAGCCTAAGATTTAAAAGAGTAAAAGGCCAGGATTTAAATTTTAGCACATTTTTAGGGCACTGTTGAAAGAACATGATATTTGGAGCAGGCAGTCAGCTCCGTCAGTTACCTGCCGACAGACCTTAGTCAAGGACTTAACTTTCCTTATCCATAAAGTGGGTATTTATTCCTGACCAAAATTCCCTACATGATTATCCTAAGGACTGGTACATGAAATACTTGGTAGGTTAAAGTACTGCGTAATTTGGGGTTTTTTTTTTGGGGGGGGTTGTCATTATATTAAAGATTACCTCACATCATCACTCAAATAATAGAAGCAAAATTATCTCTAAGCTTAAGAACCAACAGAATCAAATTTTAGGGGAAAGCTGATACACAAAAAGGATTATAAGATGATACAGTGTAATTTTTCTTTTCATGGATTATAAGCTTTGCAGAAAGACTCAGTCCATATTTGTGTAAAAGACGGGCTGGGGTCCTGGCTGCAGCCTCCCCGCTGGAGTGAGAGATTAGAGCTCCCCGAGGAGGAGGCTGGGTTTAAGGTGACAGTTACCCAGTTCTATCGCTTTTGGGTGGATTTCAGAGGGCTAAGCTCACCTGTAGAGATGCTGTAATCCAGCTATAGCCTGTAAGCTTTAAAACTTCTAAATCGGTTTAAAATGGCAGTGCCAGCAAGGCTGCAAAGTCAGTTTCAGTTAGGCCAGTGCTAACTAAGTACACGCAAGCTGGCCAACCTTGCGGCGGGGAGGACAGAGAGGAGTACTAAAAACACGGCAAAAAACAGAGGAGAATGGATGTGAGAAGAACTCGATGTGAGTCATACGGCTGGTTTCTTTATATTAATAGTTATGAGTGGTATGAATCAAAGGTAGAAAGTCAGGATTGGAGAAAACACCTGAAAACCTGCTACTCAACAACAAATGACTTACGAATTCATTATTCATGTTGTGTTTTGTGTTTACTTGTAAAAGAAGTTGAAATTTATTTTCAGGACTTATTTTGAAGATTTATGAGTAGACGTAAACAAAATACTGTTAATGACTAATATTCCTACTTTAAAAACAAATAAAGGGGTTTATTTTCTTCATTTTTCTAAGTCTTTGTGACCCAAAAGGAGTATCAGATATTAAATGTGTAGCAAAATTTTGGAAAACTGTCTTTCTGTTAAGATGTTTCATTAGCTCTGTAGTATACAGATAACTGAATAAATGAATTGGCTCAATTCTCTGATATTTTGGGAATAAAGCCAAGATATTTATTTATTTCTGTCTTTGCATTGGTTATAATGTTTTCAAGTAACAAAAATAATTACTAAAAATCAGACTGTAAGATTCTGGAGTGTGACAATACAAAAGCAAGCCTTAACTCTTTTCCTTTCATCCTTTTAATTTAAATGTTCCATAAAATAGCACAGATTTTAGACCAACATTTTCCAAAGTGTATTTTATGGTGTACTAAAACTGAAATACTTTAAATAAAAACAGAAAGGATTCATGATCAAATACTTCTGAGACAAACTGTATTATATCCTGCCTAGAAAATTCACAATATATAGGAACATGTTAATGATTCTGAGAGTTCTACGGTGAAGACAGACAAAACTTTTAAAACTCAGCATTTCTCAATTTATTTGATCATTAATCTTATTTTCCCCCCTTAATCAAATGGAATTAAGTGTTCCTAGAAAATACTTTGGGAAACACTGCAAATTGTCTCTTATACTCCATTTCATTGTTGGTGTCTATCCCAGTAAAACATACATTTTTAGAAATAGCTAGATTGGAAAGACACACATCCATTGGTCAGCTAAAACTCTGAAGCTCAATAATACACAGATTTCAATATTAAATTCTGGAACTTAAGAACGCTTACATCCACGGACAGCATTCACAGTCAAAACAGTGAAATCGATTGTTCTTCACCCTGTTCCACTGGTGCTGCTCAGCTGATACACCAGAGCAATTGTGTGCTATATATTAAGGTCCTGGGAGACGTACAGGAAATAAATGGATTATAAAGACATTTCTATGCTGGGTGATTTTTAAGTAATGATTCATAAAACCAAAAATATCATTCACTAGGAACTATAAAGGAGAGTCTAAAGAGCACTTAAAGTAGAACCTGATCAGAACCAAATAGTGAGCATTTTCATTTTTAATGAATAAACAAAATGGTCTAATCATTTTTCTAAATCTTTATGTATACAGAATTATATAGATTTTTGTTTTATATTTTAGCCAAAGTTCTCTCTTCAATAACGTAATTGATCTTCTTATTCCTGTACTTAGTGGTAACGAGGAAGAAATATTAACAGATACAACTAGGAAACTTTTTATTACTCCAATATAATTTGATTATATTATTATTATTACGTAGGAAAAAAATATAATACTATTACTCTGCTGAGATCTCATAGGCCTGTGAAATACAGCTGTGGGTTGTAAATGTTTAAAAAAATGTTTAAAAAATGTTTGTAAATGTTTAAAAAAAAGTTGTGAAACAATCATGTATATAAAACATCTGTAAGGTTCTATCTACAATAAAATTCTACTATTCTTTGAGGTTGGACGTAAGGGTACAGATATAGTACAATTTAGGTTGAGATTCTCCATGATGTTTAAAACTTGAATATGTCATATTTATAAAAAGCATGTTATGTGGAACTTTCTTTTAAAAAAGCTGATTCTGATAATGTCACTTGACATTCCAATAGTGCAACAGCTTTAGAAAGCTTTTCCAGAAAAGAAAAAGTCTGAAATATTACTCAAAGGGAAACACATTACATTATAAAATGATGGAGAACTAACTCTTCATGAACCTATGGGGTAAGAGGTGAGGAAGGGTATGGCCTTGGCCTCAAAGCAAGGCCTTGCATCACACAACTCCAGAGGGCGCTCTGCACAACACATTCTGTATAAATGGTGCCCTCTAGAGTTGTCCTCTGCGATGAGACTGAAATCAGTGAAGTCGAGTTCCAGTCTCTACTGTTTATTAACTGTGTGACTTTGGGGAAGTTAATTAACCTCTCGATAGCTTAAATTTCTCATTTACTAAATAAAAATAGCACTAAGGACATGTATGATAGTTCTGTTGGCAGATGATGTCCTAAGGGTCCGTAGTAATTACGAGAACTTTTTTTAAAAATTTTGCTACACATTTAACCATCATCTCAAAATTATCATTCACCTTATCATTTCAACAAATACTTATTCAGTGCCATCTATATGCCAGGTAGTGGTCCCAGGCGTTAAGGACACAGAAATGAACAAAAGATCTAAAATCCTGGCTTTCATGGAGCTTCTGTTTTAGCTCTACAGAGAAGCATGTAATAAACAAAAAACACAAATGTCAAGTGGAAACAAGTGGTACAAAGATAAATCAAGTAGCTTAAGGGGACAGAAGATATCAGGTTCTGTGTATGTGTGGAGGGTACCTATTTCAGACAGGCTGTTCTGGAAAGGCTGCTTTGATAAGGTAATATCTGAACAGACGCCCAAATGTACTGAGAGACAGAGTCTTGTGAGTATCTGTGGAATGCACTCCAGGGCTGGGAACTGGTGCCAGGGCCCTGAGCTCAGCGCCTTCCAGGACTGCAGGGGACCAGCGTGGGCAAGGACGGGATGCGTGGGCGAGGACGGGGTGCGTGGGGAGACAGGAGATGGGGGCAGAGAGATGGGAGTGGCGTTGGGGGGTGGTCACAGAAGGCTTTGCCTGCCACAGTAAGGAATTTTGGATTCTATTCTGAGTAACATGGGAAGTAAAAGAGGGTTCTGATCAGAGCAGTGATATGATCTTGGTGGGGTTTTTTTGTTTGTGTGTTTGTTTTGTTTTGGTAGGGGGAGGTAATTAAGTTTATTTATTAATCTATTTTTTGATGGAGGTACCAGGGATTGAACCCAGGACCTCATGCATGCTACGCATGTGCTCTACCACTGAGCTATATCTGCCCCCTCAAGAAGTAACATGATCTGATTTACATTTTTAAAACATCACACTGGCTGCCTTGTGGGCAGTACACCTTGGGGGGGGGCGGTGTGGGAGCAGACTAAAGCCTCAGTAAACATGATAGTTGTCCCAAATCAGGGCGCATACTTGTCATTTAAATAATTTCCACCCATCTACTCCAGGATTTATTCTAAGACAAAGTAATTTGACAATGAAGAGGTCTTTCCATTGGGCCCAAGTTAAATTTACAAAGAACTAAGCTTTAGAAAGTAAAAAAGCACTAGTTAAACGAAAGTTGATTACTAGTGATTAAAACTGTTCAACCTGGCTTTTGATTCAGCTGAATCAACAACTAAGTATAATTTCGTTTGCCGAGTCTCTTGGCCCCAGAAGGTGGGAATTTGTTTCATCAAAATCAAAATTAAGAATGGGTATCGAGTACATAAAATTAAAAAAAAATTAATATTAGAAATAATTTTTGAGAGTAAAAGCTTATGGCTCTGGTTTTAGCACAGGGTAGAAAATGCACAAGTATTTTAAAATCACAGTGTAAAATTCCTGTGCCTGTTGAAATACTTTGCTGAAAAAGTTTTGTTCAATGTTCGACACATTAGCCAACAACTATGAAATAAGCTCACCTATAAATGGGATAGAAGCCAAGGAGTCACCGGGTGGGCTGGTACTCGAGGCCTTCCTTTCCTCCATCCTTTTTATGTGGACCTCACGGCGTGCATCATTGGGCAGCCAGCAAGTGGTGTCTGACCCCGTCTCCTGGTCGTTCACTGCCAAGATGTAGGACTGATGCCTCAAAGGCTGTGGTGTCTGGCGACCAGATGGAGGCTTTTCTCTTAGGATGACAGTTTCTTTATTTTCTACAGCACTGGACTGCTGAACTTCAGCCTCCTGTAAATTTAAATCTTGATTCCTTTGAGTGATGGGTAACTCTGAATCTGGTGTGCCAGAACTCTCATTCATCAGAGGTGTGAGCTTAACAGAAGCTTCAGATAGAGAAGGGGGTTTCCCGGTGTCCACCTGGTGACCAGGAGCACTTTCAGCCCCTAACCATGTCTGCTGATTCAGTAGGCTGTTTTGATGCAAATGATTTACTGGTCTTTGGTCTTTAATAGAAATAAATGAGTTCTGGCTGGAGGGGGGTTTTGTGACATGCGTAGAAGGCGCTTTCAGAGAATTACTTCGGACTTTCACAAGAGGTGACCTGTCCTGTGAAATACCTCGAGGATGGGACATCCCACAAGTAGTCTGAAAATTTCGGTTTGCCTGCAGTGTCTTTAGATCTGGCGGAATTTTTTTAAACTGAGACACCGATCCCGCCCCTCGGCCACTCACCCGACGGTTGTCAGAATTCACAAGGCTTGGAGCCACCGTAAAATTGGAACCCCGAAAAGACTTGTGAATTTCTGGCTGCCTGGGTCTCTCATAAATACCTCGCCGATCGTCCTGTTCGGTAAACCCGCTCCACTTGTAAGTCTGCTTTCGGTCTCCATTTGAATCAGGGGGCGGACGTTCAGAATGGACGTTTTCTAAAGTTTCACCCTGTCCCTCGATATAATCCCACGAGCGAGTTCTGTGATTACTAAAACTAACAGATGGAGACGTCAGCGTTCCTTGAGATGCACTTCTCGGGCAATACTTCATTAACACGGAGTCCTCCAGCCTCTCCTGGGACACGCTGCGTTGCCGGATCTGAACGGACTGGGGCACTCGGTCCTGAGAGGTGCTCCGACGTCGTACCTGCAGAGCGGCGCGGTTCAGTACCACCTGGTTGTAGTCTGCTGTGCTCTGAGAGGCTGCTCTCAAACTGTCTAACCTTTCCTGAATTGTCCGACAACCTATGTGCAACCGCCTGTTATCAATGTACTCTTTGTAAGTTTTATAGTTTTTCCAGTCTATGTGCTGATGGGAATTTGGAGAATAGTGATTGACAGATACAGAAGGCGAATCCACAGCTGGAGATCTATTGCTTGATGGTCCCTCTGCGTGTCCGCTGTAATTGCCAGATTTCAGTAAAATCCCGGAAGGTTCCAACGACCTGGAGCCGGCTGGATGAATTAGATGGGCAGTGGGAACTGACGACGGTGGTGATGTGGTTCTTGACGCCGTTTTTAAAGAGGTCTGCTCATTTCTGCCATACCTCACCTCTTCAGTTCTGTGCGAGGGAACCGTGTGGGTGTTCCTATTAGGTAACAAATCTACAACCTTCTCAGAAGGTACAATGACAGTCCTTACGCTTTCATTGCAGACACACACTGCTGTGTTTGACTTGGCCACATCTGGGGGTGATGGAGGCACTTGGATTTCCATCCGGTAGGCCCTGCTGGGCTGCGTCAGTACTGGTGGACTGGTTTGCTGTTTGCTGGAGGAGGAGTCTGGAGGAGCTGTTTCAGCGGGCTGCGCCATGGCTGAAGGGGCGGACGGAAGCCAGGGGTAGCAGATCGGTGGGGGCTCGGGTATGTTGCGGGCATTGCCGCTGTAGGCTTCATTGCCTTTCAGGTAGGCATCTTGAGAATACGCCTACGTGGAGACGAGAGAAAGGGGTCACTTAAAATTCATCAAAGGAACACTCACTTCCACTCTTGCGATGCACTACTTTACTTTACGGTGCCCGGCCTCGTGCCTGAATGGCATTCACTAAAGCATGCGTGCAAACGTAACAACATAAGGGTACTCCACAAATGCAGAAAGGGGCTAGTCTCTCAGAAATCAAATAAATTGTAGAATTTGCAAAAAATATAAATTGTAATGGCCTGTTTCCCCAAAAGGTCTGAAACACACCAAATTCCCCACCACCACCATCAATCAGATATAGATGTCTTGCTCCTGAAAATTTCCCCTTTCAAGTTTTACAGTTTTTCTTTTTCTTTCTCCAGCAGTTGGCAGGTTAAACGGCTGCTAATACATCTCAGCAAAAGAAGAACCTGGTCTTTTGCCAGAGTGAAGGTGAAAATATGAAAAATCTTCACCAAATACAACCTTTATTTGAGGCACTACTGTTATCATAAATTAAATAATATACTGAAGGCTGTCTTGCCAATGAATGATTACTGAGTCACTAAAAATAATCCATTGTGATAAATTAAGTCCTCCAGCAGCCATGCTAAATACTTATTTAAAATAGAGAATATGTACATTTAAGAAATTAAAGTTATTAAAGGCATAAGATATGAAAAAAGGTGATTCATCTTCCTGTATATAATCTATAATTTTTATTTCACATGAATGTAAGATTACATTGTACAAATTTATTTGGTCTCTTTCACCTGTTATAAGGAGACATTGCTCTATTACTATCAGGCAGGCATGCAGCTCAAATTATTTTTTATCAATTATTTACGAAATTATCTAGAAATATTTTTTAAAACTTAAATCTAACAAAGTAAATACAGAAGACTCTACAGAACAGCTAATCGATGCAGTTCAGGACTGTGTACAGCAGCTGAGACAGTTAGGTGTGGTGTCATATTACATATTCTCCCCTAATCAAAACAAGCTTAAATTCAAGACCATCATCACATCCTGTCTTTGCAAACAGCCTGCAAAGCTCAAGTGCAGCCACAAACATAACGTAACAGCAAAGTACTAGAAGAGAGAGGGTGAGATGCTTAAAGAAATACAGATGCAGATACATGTTATGTTTTAATGCCAGTTATGTACAGGATACAAAAGAAAACCAAAATAAAACAATACATCACAAACACATTCTGCAAATTAGTAAGATTAACACCACGGAGAGATTCCTCTAAGCAAACTTACAGTTTTAATAGACTGGCTTATTACAAATCTCTACAAAACATGACTTAAAAAGCAAGGAAATGGCTTCTGTGCATTTCTTACCAGAGCTGTGACATCCTTTGTAAATTGTAGCTAGCAGAAAATAGGAAAACATAGTAGAAGCTGCTTACTGATATACAGACAGAATCATGTTGTCACACTGATGCTGGAAAACAGCAAGCTAAAAATACATCTACACTGATTCCTCTGGAAGGTACCAAGAGAAGTAAAGGGCAGTGAGGCGTAAAGAATAACTTCAGTATCCTTCTGAGCATCTTTTTCTCAAGCTTTTATCTGGTCCTTATTTACTTTGTCTACCATTCTTGAAAGCAAAACACATCTGGTGACATGCATTTGCGACAGATAATTCCTTCAGTGTGTACGGCTGTCTGACAATGTGCTGCAAACCTTCCCTTCCATGAGAGCAACATTGATGCCTCTCATTTCCCCTGAGCTTCTTCCATCTCTGCTTCTAGATGACGAAACGAACGCTCTGTTATGCTTTTACAATAGTACAACGTCCACCTCCCCCTGTAACTCAGAGCACAGCCACAAGCTGTCAGCTGACTACAGCTGCCTTCACACTGTGATTTAGAAGAAAAGAATGACTGTTTTATTAAATGGGTTCCCCTCCAAAATTAAGGCCTTTCAACACTGTACCTTTTGTCTTGTTTTATTAGCTTATGAAAATAACCACTGAATGGAACACAAAAGTATGACTTCCAGAATAATTCTTTTTAACTTAGAATGATTATTACGGAACCTAAACCAGGATGCAGTGAGAAATTCAAGCCAAGGAGATAAAAGAAAACAGGCATGCCATAATATTTTTAAGGTACGAATACAGTCAATCAAAATATGTATTTTGGGGTAGGTGCCAGTGACACACAGGCCTGCCTTTTTAATGCTGATTACAGTCACACCGATACCGACAGGAAAACCAAGTGTGGATGAGTGGAGTCAGACAATATTTTCCGCAGCGTGTTTGTGCGATTTTATTAAGCATCGCCTAAAAGGGGGGGGGGGAAGTGGAGAGGATATCCACTATGCTCAATGATGTAGGAAAGGTTGGCTGGTCAGCTTCCTGACTTCTCAAAATCTCTCCTACATTAATGTACAGTGTAAAACTCGACATGGAATTAGAAACTTATTCAACCATGGTACCCATTTTTTCCCCCAGGGGTTTTAACACATGATTAGAATTTCTGCTGGGAAATGCGGTTCTAGAACCAGTAATTTAGAGATAATTTCTTTATTCAAATTCGGGGAGAAAGATTATCTTTTAATAATAAAAGTATATGACCAGAACTACGAAATACTTGAAAAAGTATTTGATATACTTCAGATAGCTCTAAGATTTCTACACAGCCAGCTCTAAATACTGAATAGTCTATATTCATGGGTCCCCACTTCTGGGTAAAGTTATGGCAAAGGGGCCCTTAAATACAGACACACGAACCCTGCGTTAACACTGGGCTGACTAAACAATATTCTACACATACAGTACTACTGTCTCATGTAAGAAGATACAGTTGAGATAAATCAAAATGTGAATTCACTGAGTAGTATTACTCAATTTCCTCACATAGTCTTTCAGTTCATGGACACTAAAAAAGCTTATTTATTTACCTAGCTGTCTATGTAAAAGTTGCTCATTCCCGTGAGGTTTGGGAACCAATACCATTCAATGAACATCCGTGGGGAAATGAGCAGTGCTCTGAGGCTGCTTAGTGTGTTCCAGGTAGGTCATGGGAATAAGCTCTATGGCTCTCCTGAGAGGTGTGGTACAGACACAGATGAGCCCCGGGGTAAGTTTAGGGAAGTAAATTAGGAGTAGACAATGTGCATTTTAAGGCGTCCTCTTCCCTCATGATGCCTTTAAGTATTGCTCTAGAAAACAAACTGCCGACTAAGGAAAGCTTTGGACGGGGCTTGCGTTCACACTAGGAGGGATTACAACATTTGTTTGCCTGTTTGAGGTGAACATGGAACCCACCGGATAAGGTTTTACATTGTGAACACCGAATTAAAAACTCTGTAGCTTGCTCACAGCTGTGACTGTGGATGCTTTCTCTTGAGTGCTTGGTCAGAAAGTCCCAAATCTTTCACTGAGACATCATAGTCAGACATTACAATGTTTTAATTACCCACTGGGAATTTTTGAACTGTCAATGGGCACCAATTAAACAACACAAACTATCAAAGTAATTTTTATATAATGATGTCAATTTATAATCTTTTATAATGACATCAAAATCATCCCAAATTAATAAGTTTGTCTGAAATGATATGGCCTAGAAGTTTTGAAACCAATGTCATAAGAATTACATATTTGGCTCAGAATAATTTTTACTTTTATGTTTGTTTTAAGCCCAAATAGATACTTCATAGTATGTATCCGAAGTTTTGATATAATTAGACAACAACTCAAATTTTTTCTGACTGGCGCTTGAGAATTCAATAACATATGACAAAAAAAATTTAGCCAATTTTTTTCCTTAGTCCTTTTATCTATCACTTGACATTTTTTTCTGGAATTTCCTTTACCTTTGTACTTAGATTTATATCTGAAAATAATTTAGCAGTTCAAAAGTTTGTATTTTAAAATTCAAACCATACCTAATAAAAATAGAACAGCAGCCCTATCATGCCTACAGATCCAAAAGGTTTTTAAAAGGGGGGGCTGGGGGTGAGTAAGGAAAGATGACTCACAGAATTCTTCATTTGGAATCAGAATTGTAAAGAGCATTTAAATAAAATTTAATATTAACAGTCTGGATCTTGATTATACGTACAATGCCTAACAGTAACTAAAAAAATCCTAAAATAATCTTTCAGTTCAGTTTTAATAGAGTTGCATCAAAGTCACTATTACCATACCTGTGACTACTGCTGTACCATATTCACTGTCTAGTAAATAGTAAAAACAAAACAAAAAAAGTGCAGAATAAGCTGATAAGATTAAAATTCCTGCCTACCAGTTCACTGTTAACAGGCTGACCTGTTAATTTAATACCATTACCTATGATAAAAGCAAAAATAACTACATATCTGTTTGTATTATTTAATTTAATTTAATTTTTCACACCAAGTACACACTCTACCACTGAGTTGATACTCCTTCCCCTATATAATTTTAAAGTACACGCCAGACAGGCCGCAGTGGGGCATGGGAGAAGGGGATGATGAGGTTATTTTATACCTTTCTCAATTATTTGAAACTTTTGTAACAAACATATACTGCTCTTATAATTATTTAAAATTTTTTTTAAAAAAAGAACAAAGTAACTGCTTCAAACTTGCAAAATACAAAAGAACCCTCTAGAATTACTACTCTTGCTTCCCCACTCTAGGCAGGACCATCTGCCTAGATCAAGGTGGTCCTTGATCTCCACATGACAAATACCTAATTTTAAATAGAATAGTATACTGACTGTGGAACATAGTAAATAATTATTCTGAAAGTAATTCTGTTAAATCTGAAGAGAAACTTGGGTTAAATGTAAGTTTTCAATTTCCATCACACATTCATGGAGTGCGACATAGAGCAACGGATGCAGAGTCCAGAGGTGAGTTAGGGCAGCAGCTCTGCCACTGACTGGTAGTGGGGCTGGGGCAGCCCCTGGACTCTTCGTCTGCACCCAAGGGCGGCATGGGACTGTGCTTGAGCTGGAAGTACAGCCTGCACATGGTCTCCCACCTGCCTGGGTTCAAGTCCCAGCGCCATCACTTTCTTCCCTGTTCTACTTGCAAAGTTGTTGAACCAGAGCAGCACTAAGCAGCTCCAAACGCCTCGGTCAAACATCAGACACCCAAGAATCTCCACAGCCATCTGACTTAAGATTGAATTTTGAGTCCACTGAACCAAAGGCTTAACGAAGCATCCTGAGACGTGCACGGAAACATAGCACTCCCGCCACAGGCCCATCTGAGGACGCGTTTTTTTCAGTCAACAGCACTGTTTAGGTGACTTGATGGGTGGTGGCGATTTCATGAACAGTGTCTGAGAGGGTAACAAAATCATTTCGTCTTTCTGAAAATGCAACAGGAAGTGCCTTTTATTTTGTAATGCTACTTCATCAAATGACTGACATGAATACAGTACTATGCATATCGTTAATCTAAAAAATGTATGTTAGTTTAAAAAATGGGACTGTCGAGTACAGGAGTACTCTTACCAGCACGAATTTAATAACATAGTAACTCTTAATTTTACTTCATGTTTGTCAAAAACATTACATCACTGCCTTCTATAAATTATTAAGTTTATTATTATATAATCTGTCCTTACTTGGGGCC